TGCTATTAACTATTTTATATAAGAAAGTCATTCTAATTAATTTACGTCTGCTGGTTAGAAAAACAACTATAAATTCCTCAAGTAACCGAGATGTTCGAATAGTTACATAATCTGGCCACCGATGATGTTTTTAAAAAAATTAATATCGCAAATACTTATTTTGTACCTTTTCGATAGTTTCTAAGTAGACTTGGGGTTGATCTGCCCAAATTACAGCTCCAAACTCAAGTTTTGGCCTTACCAAAGTATTGTATAAAATTTTTATAGTATTGACATTTCAAAATCAGAAGCTTGTCTAAAAATAAATCCCAAAGAATGCCTGGCACGCTTTAATAATTTTTTTATATGTGTAGTAAAAGAAAATTCATTAATATATATAATACCAAGATCTTTGACCTCAATAGACCTTGTTAAAATTACCTGATTAATTAAATAATCAAAAACTATAAGCTGTTTTTCCCAGAAATAGACATTATGAAGCATTTACTTACATTAAAACTCAATTTATTTGCTAGACTCCAATTACAAATGCTGATTAAATCCTTTTAAAGCAGTATACTCTCTCACCGTTTGAATTTTCCTAAATATTTTGAAATCATCTGCAAATAATAGATATTCTGAGTATGAAACATAATCAGGTAGATCGTTTATAAACAAAATAAAAAATAAAGGGCCCAAATTAGAACCTTGCGGATCTCCAGAATTTGTATGATATTTACCCGAAGTGTTTCCATTATGTTTGACAACAAAATATCTATTTTCGAGATAACTTTTAATTAAATTTAATAAACTGACTGATAACCCAAATTTATATAACTTCTTCAATAATATGTCATGATTGACTCTGTCAAAAGCCTTTTGAAAATCCTTATAGATTACATCCAATTGTAGCCTATTTTCAAAAACTTCACTTACTGATTCTGAGAATAATAGTAAATTAGTGTTTATTGACCGACCTGACATAAATCTATGTTGCTGATCCACTACACTATTTTTTACATGGTTATAAATATAAGAGTATATAATACTCTCGAAACGTTTTGAAGGAGCACACATAATTGATACGCCTCTATAATTTTCTATATCATTCTTGTTACCCGATTTATATATTGGAGTATATGATGCAAGTTTCCATTTTTTTTGGGAATGATGAACTGAATAAGATTAAAAATGTGCAATAAAGGCTCTTTCAGCCAATCCTTACAACCCTTTAAAATGTATGGAGGTATACCGTCGACTCCAGCAGATTTCTTTGGCCTTAATTTTCGCATTGCTATTTCATAATCACTTTTATTTATTTTAGAAACATTTAAGATGTGCGCATTATAAGTTAAATCAATATTATCCAAGTTATAATTAGATTTCTCAGCAGAGTGAACATATGCAAAATATTCAGCAAACTTGTTAACAGTTTCATCTTCGGCTATTTCAGCTCCTCCCCATTTAAATTTTTCCACTTGACTAGCATTACTACTATTTTTACTGACATGTCCAAAAATTATTAATATTATTTTCGCTTATGTTATTTTCAATTTCCTGTAAAAAAAATTTATGGTCTACGTTTATTAAAGATTTTACTTTCCTTCTGGTTTGAATATATTTATTGTTATGATAATCAGTTGCATATTTTAATTTTCTATAGCTGTTTTTTTCCTTTAATAAATTTTTAATCTCACTTGTAAACCATTTAGGATATTTATTGCAATTTTCGTTTTCGTTTTATATTTAGGGACTGTTGCCTCAAATACACTATAAATTTTTTTATTAAATACAGGGTGTTATTGAAATACACGTACATATTAAAATGGGGAATAGTATGTAATGACCAAAAACGATTGGCACCAATTTTAACTTCAAATTCTAAAATTTAAATATTGGGGAAGAGTCCCCTTTTCCGACCTACTAGTTTCCATATTTAAAGAAGTAAAATAAATCGAAATTGAACTTACCCATAGAAATTGCACTGTTGCCGTAGCAAAACCAATTAATTCAAAATAAAGTTTATTACAGTAATTGTTCAAAATGCCGTCCATTATTATTTACACACACTTGCAATCGTCTTTCCAAAGAACTTTGAACATTAGAAATTAGTCTTGGATTTTGTCGTAGTTCCTCGGCTACCGCATTAACTTTATTGGTTAATTGTTCAACACTATTAATAGGTTCATTATAAACCAGTTGTTTCATGTGACCCCACAAAAAGAAATCGCATGGATTTAAGTCCGGAGATCTCGGAGGCCACTTAGTAGGTACATTTCTGCCTATCCACTTTTGAGGAAATCTAATGTTCCAAAACTGCCGTACGTTTAAATCAAAGTGAGGAGGAGCGCCATCTAGTAGGTACCACATCCGTTGCCTTAATTGTAACGGTATCTCTTCTAGGAGTACTGGCAAAATATCTTCTAAAAAGTGGAGATATCCTGGCCCATTTAATCTGTTCGGGAGAACATAAGGCCCGATGAAATACTGATCTATTATGACAGCCCAAACATTTATTGAAAATTTTCTTTGATGCCCAGTTTCCCTAATGGCGTGAGGATTTTCATCACTCCAAATATGCGTATTGTGCATATTGAAAATCAGGAATATCAACACATTTTTGAATCATCCATTCACAAAACTCCACTCTCTTTTCTTCATCACCTGGATATAAGGCCTGGACTTTTTGGATGTGATAAGGATGTAAACCTTGTTCTTTAAGTGTCCGCCACACAACAAATGAGGACACTCCAATTTCAAGACCTAGTCTTCTACAACTTAATTGAGGCCGGTTTTCAACAGGTTCCAATATTTCTTCTTCGGCCGCCAATGTTCTTTGTGTTCTTGTTCTCCCTCGATCTGCATTGACACTCTCAAATTTTCCATGGTCTCTTAGATGCTGAACAGTTGAAATAAACGTACGACAGTCCGGAATTCTCCGATTTGAAAACCGTTTGCGATACAGGATTTGTGCTTGCCGAGAATTTTCTCCAGCTGCCCCATAAACCAGCACTATATCCGTTAGTTCAATATTCGTAAATAGTGGCATCGTAAAAAAATATTTAAAAGTAATCGTAACAACACTTTTTACCAACTTGGAAATGACGCGCTCGTGTTAGCCAGATTCGTAAAGCAACTAAAATTTTAATAATCTATAGTTTCAAAAATGTATAGTTTAAAAACAATCATTTATCAAATATTCTAGTTTTTTGATAACGAGGGTAGTAAAAACCAGTCTTCGGAAATAGAAATTAATTCGAAATACTTGGCAACATGGTTATTTCTACAAGACTAGTTTTCTTATCATCTGACAAAAACTTGCATATTAATTACTGTTGATGTTTAAAATAGGTAAATAAACCTAATTTATATAGGTCATCCTCAACATATCAGTGAAGTACGTTTGTTTTAGAATTAATTTTCAAAAATTAATAACTCCCTTAATAAGGGGTATTTTTAAAAAATAATATTTTTCTACATTCAGTGGGGATCTGCGCAATACCCAGTTTTAATATGTACGTGTATTTCAATAACACCCTGTATATCTAGTGCTATATCAACATTAAAATTCTGCATAACATCATCCCATTCATAACCGCTCATAATTTTAGTCATTAAATCGAAATTCGCTTTCTTAAAATTATATTTACAATTATTGGAAATTTTATTTTTTGAAGTCGGACAACTGATTTGTTCAAGAAATATATTCACTTCCAGAGATGGGTGATAACGATCTTCAGGTACTAAAGGGAACTGTTCCAGCACAACATTGCAATTATTAATATTTTCAATAGATGTTATAACCAAATCCAGAGTTTTTTCTTGAAAATTCTTTATATTATTATAAAGTGTAAAATTATTATAATTTAAAAAACTATTTAGAAGATTTAGTTTATTACTCATATTACTAAAAACAGTGCAATCTGTACCTTTTATTTCTGGTATATTAAAATCTCCTAAAATAAATGTATTATTAATATTATTTACATGCGTTTGTAATATATCAAAACAATTTTTGTAGTCATTTATGTTAGAATCTGGAGAGATGTAGACTCCCATTATATTTACTTTAAATTTGTTTTTTATTTTTAATTCAACAATTACAATGTCAAATAATGACTTATTCTGTACAATAGATACAATTTTGTGTTGTTTTTTTATTGCTATAAACACACCGCCTCCCCTAGACTTACCAGTAAGTTCGCGATCCCTATCAGCTCTTATTAAATTATGCATATTTAAATCAACCAGTTCTCCATCTGCTACTCCATCATCATAATTACCCTGTAAACAATTTGTATAGAACTCTGTTGTCTTTGAATTTAGCCCTCTACAATTTTGAAAATTTATATTAATTTCTGTCGGTACCATGAGTTGCAATAATAATCTAGATAATAAATATTGTTATAAACTTAACTAAACAAGTTGACAAAACTGTAAAAGTACCAAAGTACCGAGAATCCCTTGATTACATAATTATCACTACATTATTAGGTATACCTTAGCAATAAATCAATCACAAATAAATTGAGAGTAATATCTAAATTAAAATATTGCAGTAATGTTAATCAAAATCAACACACCTCTATTAAACATTAAAGCAATTATCTAGCATAAAAAAAGCTAACATTGATAAATAATTTCACTTAGATAGATTTTCAAACACCGAAAATACTTTTTTAAAAATTTTATTATTTATTATATAAAATACAGAGCTTGTTTATTGCCCCCATGCTAAGCAAAGAATGAATCTAAATACAATATTCAAAGTAAAGTTAATAACAATGCAACAAAGAACTGCTATCTTATTTATGCAATTATGCATAAAATATGTGGACGTCGGTAAATTGGCCCCATGTAACTACTTCTATTTATTTCATCTAAATGTAATTACTACCTGAAATAAATAAATTATGGATGTTTTCATTTACTGAAAGATAAAGCACAAAAAAGAATAGAAAAATCCGATAAGCATAAATTCTTTAAATTAAAAGAGATACGTTTATTTACTTATGGCAGTCCATGCACTAAAAATTTTGACCATTTAAATGTCTTCTTCCAAACAAATTTGGCGAACAGCATCATTTTCTTTTATAAAAATTTGTCCGTTCCAGGTCCATACACTATTATTTCCATATTTTGATTTAGCTTTCTTTAACAAATTGTAGGATTTATTCGATAACTGTCCATTCAAAAATATTTCGGTTCCTTTCAGCATATTTCTAGATTTAAGTATTTCTTGCTTTTTCAAATTAGAAGCAAAATCCACAATCAGTGTGCGATTTTTAAACTTATTTAATTTACCAATTCTGTGTAAATCATTAATATCCCATATATTACATTTTATTTTCATAGTGTTATTTATTAAATTAGTGACAATAGATAACAAGTGTTCCCTTGTATCTTCTTTTATTCCGTTAATACAAATTTTATTTTTAAATGTTAATGATTCCAGCCACTCTATTTTATCATTTAATTTCATAATCTCTTGACTGTTATTTGTTAACGAGGTAGTCAATTCAACCATTTTATCAGATATTGTTTCAAATTTTAATTCTATATCAGTAAGTATTTTATCCAGCTTTTCATCCATTTTTATTAAATTCTGCAATTTTATTTTCTATAGCATTAAATTTCTTTTCCATTTTTTCTTCAATTTTAGCAAACATTTTTTTGGCACGTTTTACTTACAATCTGTTTTATTGCTGCTGGTGCTGCTGCTGCTGATATATCGTCCAAAGATACACTATGGCTTCTTGGCATATTTTAACGTGTGTGGCCACTTTGTAATAAAATACTTTCTTACCATCAATTTAAACAATCAAATATATTTTTTGAATAATATAGTTCAATATTAACTAACTTTTTCACTAACGAACTAATCACGAACTAATCTAGTGATTGATATAATTTTCATTAATTTTTATAAAGAGATACCGGTTAAATTAACAATTTATCAAGAGCCCTCGAACTGACATCATTTTGCATTTGGTTCGTTTGTATATATTTTATTTAGAAAAATTTTGTAGCTGTATGGACGTGGATAAAAATAAAAATAAAATGGTAGTATTTGTGCATTGTTTTGACTTTATTTAAGCAGAGCTGCTATTTGTAAGTTACAAAATTTCCAAAGTACTGTCGTTTATAATGGTACAAAATTCCATAGCAAATGTATAAATAAAAACACTTGAAATATATTGATAAAAGAAAATTAAATATCACATTTTGTAAGTATTATGTTTTTTATGACTATACCGTGTGTAAACGAAATCATGTTACATGTCCTAATTTTGTCCTAAATTAAAATAAAAATATGATTTTGGCTTGAAGGTTTATTAATTCAGCAACTGGATAAAAAAATCTGTTTTTGGTTATCTTGCGAATAAATTTTATTTTTGTTTAATTATTTTATGATTCACTAATATTGCCCATATTTAGGTAATTTTTGACCAAGAAATTAAATAGAAATTAAAATTTAAAGTCTTTTATACTTATAAGATCGAAAACTGTAATACAGGTATTTCAGAACTTCCTTCTATTAAAAAAATATTTATATCGTTTTTAAAACAAGTTTTTCTTTAGCAACCACACGAAAAAGACCTGTCACTGTAAGACAGAATACTAATGAGTGTTTCCGGCGCGTAAATTCAGACGCGACTTAACACAATAAATAAAAATATGCTTGACAGTAACATACCGGCCCCCTTGAAAGGCTCGGCTTTCAAAAATAACAAAAATAAATAGTTTTATTGTTAATGTACATTGGGCAATACACAAATTCGAGAAACAGCCCTTTTAAAACTTGTATCTCGCACTCTTAGGCTCACTACCCGCACCACATTGTCTTGTCCTTGGTGCAATTCAGAAATGCGTCCCAATGGCCAACATAATGCCGGTGTTTCATCTTCCTGGAGCAGAACCAAGTCCCCAACCTTCAATTTTTGCCCAGAAGACGTCTTCCATTTCATCTGCTGCTGGAGATACGAAATATTCTCCTTACACCATCTTGTCCAGAATATTTGGTACAGGCGTTGAATCTCGTGGAACGCCGACAGCCGGTTTGGCGACATATATTGTACATCCATCTGAAGTATGGCAGTGGGAGCATCCTCAATTAGGAAGTGGCCTGGGATAAGTGGGGAGGGGTCATTTGGGTCATCGGTTAATGGGATTAAGCGTCTGGAATTCAGTACTTTCTCAATCTGAGTGCATAGAGTTATATAATCCTCGAGACTTAACTGGTGCATGCCAATAACCCGTTTTAAATACACTTAAGCATATTTAACCACAGCCTCTCATATACCACCCATGTGCGGGCTTCTTGCCCGAATAAAATGCTATTTTATGGCATTTGATTTGAAAAATATTAAGACAGATTCTTGTTCGCTTATACCTTTTTACAATGCCCTCAGTTCATTATCAGCCCCAACGAAACACCCTCCATTGTCAGAATATAGATAACGACACAAACCGCGGCGTAATACAAATAGTTTTAAAACATTTAAGACGGTATCAGCTGATAACGCACTGGCAACTTCCAGGTGCACCACCTTTGTCGACATACACACAAAAATACATAAATACGCCTTTACCATTTTACGGTATCGATATTTTGTTTCCCTTATAAAAAACGGTCCAGCGTAATCAACCCCACTATTTAAAAAGGTCTAGTTTTAGCTAAGCGCGTCTCTGGTAAATCCCCTATTATTTCGAGGTATGATAGAGGTTTGACCCGAAAACACCTTATACAGCTGCGCAAAAAGCGTTTGACTATGCTCTTACCACGTACCTGCACCCCTGAATGTAACAGTAGCTTATGCTCTCGCTCGATTAGCAACCTAGTTACTTGGCAATCATGTGGTAATAAAAATGGAAATTTTTTATCGAATTGAAAATCACCCTTCCTTATTCTACCTCCTACTCTTATAACCCCTTGTTTATCCAAAAACGGATTTAATGTCAACAATGTGGAATTGTTCTTGAGCTGTTTGCCTTACTTCAGTCGTGTTAGCTCTTCAGAAAAGTAAACAGACTGAACAACTCGAACAATACTCAGTAGTGCGTCTTTCAATTCAGACAAATCGAGGAGAGTCCCATACTTTCGTTTATGTTTAGCTGCAAAGCATTATATTTAAATCGCAATGACCCGTTACAGTTTGTCAAAATTTAAGAACCTTTTACAAATGGACTCGTCTAATAGCATGAGATTAACTAACTCGATTCGCTTCTGATTTTTTAAAATAAAAAAAAAAACAAACTCCTGTAATATTTTTCCAAACCCCCATTCAACAAAAACCCTTAAACTGCTCATAACATGATTAAAATGCTGTCGGTCAGGGTGTCCTGCTATTTCGTGCTGGCTTAAGGGTGCAATGAGTAGCTACCTTAAACTGTACCCTGGTCTCCATAGATAAGGTACCTTCTATCCCCGAACACAGTTCTCTTCCAGCTCTTTATACAACCTGGATAATTATACTATCAGGACATAAAAGTGATTGATATTTCAAACAATGTACTTTCTTATACCCTGAAAAGTATTGTTGTTGCTGTACTGATGGTCTACATATTGGCCAGACAGTTCCATCAATAAAAGCCCAAATATTGTCCATAGGAGCCCCTTATTGTGCAATAGCCTAAAAATACGATTTTTTTTTACTATAATTAAATTAATTATACTTATTACTAATACAAAAGATATTTTTAAAAGTCAAAAAGGTTCTTAAAGATTCTACCGTTGGAAAAATGTGATAGCAGCTTGAAAAATATATAGGTAATAAGATATTTTAAATAAAATACCTAGTTATATTTGGTTATCATAGACATCAATATGAAAATTAAATCAAAATTCCCATTTGTTTAATAGGGTAATATAACTTTTATAGTAGATTTTGATTGACTACTTGTGAATATTGCTATAACTTTTCTTCATTTAACCACGGGGTTTCCAGTAAGTGGCCCTTATTTTCGCTGATAATATCCATTGTCCTAAAACATATGCTGGAAAGATCACTGCTTGAATATCCAAACGTTGGTTCCAAATCAACAAGCCTGTTTGGATATGCTAACCTTTGCAACAGAATACAAAGCCCCGTAACACATAATTTAAAAGAACATAGCCTGGGAATATCGACTTTGTCAAAACAAAAATTGGATTTCGCCTCAATTGGACATTTCATCAAGGGTAAAACGTCCATAAATCTCTGCTCTGTTATCGAGTATATTATCGTTTAAAATATCGAGTACTATAAAATCATCTACGTCATCATCCTCATCCTTTCCAAGAACAACAGCATTTATGATATCTTCCATACTAAAGATATATGGGTCATTTTTCAAACGAGTGCATATCTCAACTATAGAACTAAAAAAAAAATAAAACACTTGGAAATAATTTTATTTTTTGTTCGCACATGCCTAATAGTCAATAAAACAAGGTTTTTTTTATTACCAATTAAATTATTTCATTATCATCAATTTTATACGTTTTTAAAAAAGCCCTATCTACGGTAATGATGCAAAGTGCCTTCGGAGATGACGAAAATGGATAAAAATAAATTTACAGGAATAGGAAATAAAAATATATTAAACACATATACTACCCTGTTACCTGAAATAATTGGCAGATTTACCAGATTGTTAACAAAAATAATAATATTTGCAACCAATTTTCAAAACTTGCGTTTTTTTGACAAAATTAGAGAAACTAATTAAAAAACTATTTGTGTGCAAAATAGAAGGTGACAAATTGAATTTAAAAAAAAAAAATTAAATTTATAAACAAACGCGCCAGTTTGCTATAAATTAACTTGTTGTGGACCTTGGAAATTTTGAAATGGACAAATTTAAACTTATTATTATTTACACTAGCCGATGATTATTACAAAGTATGAGAACTTTTGTAATTAATGTAAAATTTTCAAAATAGGATGTCTTTATTGACTTCATCGGCGAAAGAAAAAGGTATCAAATTTATCATCGGTGTCTTAAAATATGCGGCATCTTTAAAATAGATCTCACGAACATATTTGTTTACACAATTAGGTGCCTTAAAAAATGTTTTTTTCCTGGACGAGTTTGGATGCAACATTTAGTTTCGTTAATTCGTAATTTTTTGGGTCTGTACCTACACTTTTAGATGGATTTTTTTACGAACTTTTTGCCAAAATAAAATATCTTCGTACAAAACTATACCTAGACCTTCGAACATTGATAAAAAAATAAATTTTACGTTTATTTTTGAAACATAAAGCTGAAATATATGCAAAAAATAATGAAGTGTTAACTAAAAAATATTTTAAATGGATACCCCTTTTAAAAGAAATAAATTAACGAATTAACGATAAATTAACCAGTAGGACACTATATTCATTGGCGCGTACTAGGGATAATAAAGGAAAAATAATAAATATGAGTATATCTGTTGATGTTGGTGGAGAAGCCAGTATGGAATATTCCGTAAATGTGCCAATTAGATGATTCTAATTATTCAATAAATGAATCATTTGACACGGAATTACGCGTTGATATATATCTAAAAAAGAAAGAATTTTAAAATTTGCTTGAATATAGACTTGCAAGAACAAACAATTAATT